TCATCAGAACCGTCAGAACCGTCATCAGAACCGTCATCAGAACCGTCAGAACCGTCATCAGAACCAGCATCAGAACCGGCATCAGAACCATCAGAACCGGCATCACATCAAGCTGTGATTGTGAAGAAACTGGAAAAATAATGCAAATAAAAACTGATTCAGGAAAAATTTAACTTTCTGATGTAATTAATCTTTAAACGATGCTTTGATGAAAAATTGAGTTCAGATAAATTAATTTATCCTGAAGAGAAATGAAATGTTGGGGCTCAGATCACCTTCAGTCCAGTAGCAGTCAGTCTTACAACCTCCATGAAGACACCTCTGACTGAAGAATGTTGCGGCTGCTTTGACATGCTAACAGCTCAATATCTGGATGACTCCATCAGTTCTTATCTAGCTCTGCTGATCCACCGCCTTTGCTTTTGCTGCTCCTCTGTCTGGTTGTAAGTAGAGTTGCTGGAGTAGGGGATCAGACATGTTTGATCTTCTCGTCTCCTCTGGGATTTGGCCTGTAAAGGATTTTTGGCTCATTCTCTGAAATATGAAAATAAAACTGAAGGGAATTCAGCAGAAAGTGAACAGAAGGAAGAACTCAGCTGACAAATATAAAACGACCTTCAGCTCTGAGGCTTTTTCTCCCCCAGCCTGACCTTTGACCTCGTCTCTGACTGATGGGAATCCGCTGCAGCCTGGGATCAGGCGGTGAGTCGCCACATCGATGCCCGACCCGCAGCGTAACCATCAGAGTGAAACGTTTCAGAGACGCCTCCTCTGATGGAGGAACGTTGGCTCTGACCCGGTCGGTCAGAACCGGACCGGTCGGAGGGGAGAAGCGTGGGAACGCAGCAGGTCGCTTACGGAGCGGTGGAACCGGCCCGTCTGTCACCATCACTGTGATTAAATCACTGCAGCATCAAACCTGCTGAAATCGGAGCCGGGATGCAGATCCATTAGCAGCTCCAGGATCAGATGACTGAGCTTAACTGAGGCCCAACAGGCCGGCGGCGTGCCGCGCCGCGCCGTGCCGCGCCGCGCCGCGCCGCGCCGCGCCGGCCTCCACAGGTTCCATCAGAGCAGATCACAGCTCAACACCATCAACTATTTAAAAACAAACACTGTTTGGCTTTTAACACTTTAAAACACAGCAAGAAAAGTGATAAACATAAACTTAGCAATCATTAGCATAACAAATGTAAAAATAAACAAAAATACTTAGAAAAACTTAGCATGAAACTTAATAGCTTAGTATTTAAAAATACATTTTAATTTATTTTTCTTCAAACATATTCTTATTAACATTTCAGTTACCTTGATCATTTTATTTTCCAATCTTCTGAAATCATTTTTAAAAATAATGCCACTCCTCTATGCTAAGCTAACTCTCATGTTAGCCTAACTGCTCTATAAATAAAACTTGCTTGATAACAAAGTATTCAAAATGTAAATTCCTCCTAAATGTGACTTAAATTTCATATTTAGAAAACATTTTGTGAGAAAATAAGAAAAATCCACAAGAAGGGTCATGTTTTACTTTAGTTTTAAATAAAGTCGATATTTGGTGTGATATCTTTCAATGTTCTGGCCTTTTATGTGACATTTAATGATATAATTGTTTCATAAAGTTTAATGACTGCCACTAATGCTCCTGGATACCAGACCCAGATCATGACAGGACCTCCACCGTGTTCTCATGACAGCTGTAGCTTCATTATGTCTCAAACTTTGATCTGCAGGTCAACGTTACTTTATGACCAATCAGAGGCAAAATATTTAGAAATTATACTCTAAGAGGATCTTTAGACTTTCTTATCTTTGTCTTCTTTTGTCGTTTGTTGGAAACCACCGCCCTGCTCCCTGCAGGATGTTAACAGAGTTTATCAAAGTAGGAAACCTGCAGGCGCTGCGAACGTTTAGAGTGCTGAGAGCCCTGAAAACTATCTCAGTCATCCCAGGTAAGGCCTCACCACCAGGGGGCGACATGGGCAGCTCATTCAAAGAGCACCAGAGAGTTAGTGTGAACGTCATCTGCTGTCCGTCCGTGTCTGCCATGTCCTGCAGCTCCAGCCTACCTGCTCTCCCCCCACTGTCCGCCCTGTCAGAGGTCACAGGTCACCTGATCTGTCTTAAAGGAACAGTACAGAAGGAAAAGTCAGATAAAGCTAAGCTGAGCACCTGGTCATTAGCTGGAGAACGAAGGAAATATTCCTCTAGCTCTGGAATTTATTACAAATTTTCCTTTCACTCCTATAAATGTTTGCTTTTGTGATGCTAACTTTTGGATTAAGTGTTTGCTAAAAATGTAATAAAATGCGAGTAGCTAAGAAAATAATGTAATCTGATTACCTCAATAGTTACACATACGTAATAAATCAGATTTTTTTATGCAGACAATCCTTAAATGAAAATGTTTCTATTTTTATGATGATTCATTTTAGCATGTAATGCACAATTTTGCTTGAATTTTTATCTATTTTTGCCATTTTTCCGGCACATTCAATGTTTTTATTTGCAGTTAAAATGCGTATTAAAGTTTCTTAAATCTTTAAATCTGTCTATTCCAAAGAAATGTTTCAGGTGAATTTTGCTAATTAGCCATTTTGCTAGCTAACAGGCTGATAAAATGATTGGCTATAAAATACTGATGAGCTAATTGGGAGCTAAGTTAACAATTAAACATTTATTACAAGTGAAAGAGCATGTTATCATTTTAGACAGTTTGTTTCATTCTGTACACATTCTACATATGTGCGGTTAGTTTGTATTATACTAAATATTTGTGTTTAATATTTTTGCAGTTATCAGTTGAAAGTAAAAGTGAACAACAAATCCTTTATATATAGTTTAATACTTTGTTGTCTAAGCTAGCAGGTACATTTAAACTGAACATCATATGCTATGATTTTATGCTAATTACTAGCATAAAACATAATAATTACAGTTAGCTAACTGTAATATTTGATGGATATTTTTATTTATTGTCAAATTTTAATATCTTATGTTTCTTTCCCAACACATTTAACTCAATATAAATAAATAAAAAAGAGCTAACACTTTTAGCTTAATCTTGCTAATTAGCGGTTTGCTAGCTCACAAAATCAGCAGCAAAATAACAAAACTATAATAATCTGATCAGCATACCAAAAGCAAACAAAAGTTAGATGGCATCTGCTGTGAATATTTATTTTTGAGGATGAAACTCTCAGCCTGCGGTGAATTTTCCTCCAGTCTTGATCGTGTGAAGCTTTTCTGTCTGATTTCTCCTTCCTCATGCGGCTGTAGAGCCTCCACAGCTCTTCCTGTCTCTGCCTGGATCTCCGTCTCTCTGATTCTCCCTGCGTGTCGGCTCGTTGCTCCATGTGGTCACATCCTTCTGTGTGTGTCTGTTTTTGTGCTTGTGTCTCCCGGCTTGTTGCAGATATGTCACTGAGTTTGTGGACCTGGGTAATGTGTCAGCCTTAAGGACGTTCAGGGTGCTGCGCGCGCTCAAAACCATCTCAGTCATCCCAGGTGAGGAACACGAGGGAGACGGAGCGCCGCCCTCCTGACCCGCCGAGCTGCTAGAAATAAGTGGCTGTGTTTCATATCTCCTGCTGCATACTCCCCACTGAAGCTCATCTATCTGCTTTGTCATTCCTGGAAATTAGCTCAGAGGTAGTATGCAGAAACGTGAGGCGCTTATTGACACCGAGTGGACAGCAGAGGCCAGAAACGCTTTGCTGCCAACAGCAGAGAACCAGAGGAAGGATTTTAAATCTGAGCTGAAATTAGCAAAACCCACAAACACTTTTTATATGGATTATTGATGTCCAGATTATTGTTTCTGACATAAAATATGTCTTAAAATAACGACAGGACAGTTCTGGACAAAATGTTGATTTTCACAAACTTCTCTGCTTCATTTCATGAATCTTTCTGTCAGATGTTTTCTTTACTAAAACATAAAGTACTTGCTGAAACCCTCCAGGTTTGGTTGAGATTTCAAAGTAGAGCGTAAAAATTTCCTACATTTTTTTCCTTCCCACAATTCCAGTGGGCAGGAAGCGAACCGCTCATACTGAGTCCAGTCCTGGTTCTTCCTGCAGGACGTCGGTGTGTTCCTCATGTTTTCCTTAAACGGAAACCAAATGGATCCGTTTCCTCCAGCTGAATTTCTCTACATGGAGGTTTTATGACAAACTGTCATAAAACTGAAGCAGAAACGTTTGAGTTTAGTTTGGATGCTAATCATTGATATTAATTTATGATTTGTCTGAATCAAGAATAAAATGAAACTGATTAGACTGTGGATGTTTTCCTTTTGGACAGAAGTGAGAATGAGTCGGTGGTAGTGTCGCCGTGCAGAAGTTTCGGGTCGTTCTGAGCCTCTGTGTGTCCACTCTGCATGTCAGGTTCAGAACAGCAAGGCGCCTTGTTGTTCCTCTGTGGTTCTGTTACAGCTCTGCTCAACACCACAGCTTTCAGTCATTAGCTAACAGGCGCTGGAAACAGGGTCAGGTCTGTTTGTGATGAAGCAGCTGAACAACATTCAAACCCTGGAAACGGAGGAGTTTCTGACATGGTAACGTTTGGACGGCTGTCAGCTGGTCTGTGTTCAGTGTTTGTTCCTGTTGTTCTGACCAACTTCCTCTGTGTCTCAGTGTAACTCCAGGAGTTTTAGAGGGTGAAGTTGGTGATTTTCAGCAGGAGGAATGTCTTATTTATCCTTTTATTCATGATATAGATGCATGATCATTTCATTTGTTTATTAGCCTGAATAAAGATGGCCGCCCCTCAGTTTTACCTCCCTAAAATCCTGACCTAACAGTGATCCAAACCCTAAGGCTGTTTCCCGCCTGATGGTCCGGTACCATCTTTGGACATCCCTGAACTAGAAAGTCCGGTTCGGTTGAAGTGAACATCAAGCGGACCAGAGACCGCTCCAAAAGCAGGAAGTGGAGAACAGCGCAGGGCATTCTGGGTACATGCAACCAAAGCTAACATGCTAGCCTAGCGCTAGCAGTAGAAATGAACAGCAGTGAAGTTTTGGTTCCAATAGAACCAGGTCTACCGGGCTGTCAGGAGGGAAAATCAGCCTAAAACTCAAATGTTCCCTGTTGGATCAAATTCATCCTCCGTCGTGTCACTGAGTTTGTGTTTAAACATGCATCAGAGGGCGGCCATCTTCCCCTGCTGCTTACCAAGCCTAGCTGTTTGACGTTACGGTTTAAAAGCGGCTATAAAGTATTAACTGGCCCCGCGGCGCTCCTCAGGCCTGAAGACGATCGTCGGCGCTCTGATCCAGTCGGTGAAGAAACTCGCTGACGTCATGATCCTCACCGTTTTCTGCCTGAGCGTCTTCGCCCTCATCGGCCTGCAGCTCTTCATGGGAAACCTGCGGCAGAAATGCGTCCGCAGCACGGAGCACTGCATCAACGGCAGCCTGCCGGCCAACACCTCCTTCTTCTGCAATAACAAGACCTGGGCCTCCATCAAGGACTTCATCGAAGACGAAGGTGAGCCCGCTGCGGCGTGAGGGGGGTCGGGACGGGCGGTGGAATCAGAACTTCCTGTTGGACCCAGGTTGCTGTTGACGGCTGCTGGTTGCTCTGGAGATGTTTCTGTGTGTCAGAGCTGTGATGCTGCTGCTTCCTAAACGGACCAGACAACGTCAGGTTGGAGCTGCGGCTGCAGCTGACGTCAGGACACACACACACACACACACACACACACACACACACACAGACTGACGGTTTTGTGGACAAACAGTTCAGATTAATTCTCCTGATTCATATTTTTTATTATTTTCCCATCCAAACTTTCATTTACCTTTAAAATTATTTTCTGTATTTCTTATTCTCCAGGCTTTGAAGGTTCTTTTTGTTTTACTTTAATAGTTTTTTTCTGTATTTTTGGAGTTTTGGCCTCTAATCCCTACATCAGGCATAAAAGGCTCCTAATTTCAAGGAATAATGAGTTTTATATCAGAGAACCTTTTTGTTCCCAACATTGTGACACAAAACTAACCACTAAATTTACCTTTTGCATTGGAAAACAAAATCTGTAAATTTAGTCTAAAACACATCGATTTCCATCCGAGTTGAAAAACCCCAAAACTTTAGAAAACTTCCTGCAGGCCGATGTGACGAAGGCCGTCCGGACTTCCTGCTTCTCCCGATTTGAACCACAGGCCTGGTGGAATCTATCCCAGGATGCATTGCAGGCTGAAGGGAAGGTTTTGGTTCTTGTAGCAAAAGCTCAGCGGTTATTATGTTATTAGGCTTTGTCACTTTTAATATTTTTGTAAAAAATATAATTTATTTAAATAATTTACAAACTAAAAATAATAGAATAAGTTTAATATAAAACTTACCAACTTGTGTTTATCGGTAGCCGGAGGACGGGACAGTCAACAGGCCGGATCTTTTTAAGGATGGAGCCCTGAGTTTGGACACAACCTTAGATTGATTTATTTTAGCCTGGTTCTTAGCTTAGCATTAGCTTAATGTATTTTATTTACTTATTATTATTCCCAGTTAAGCTTTTTTCAGCTCAAATCAACATTCCCCATGTTAGCTAACATTGTTTTAACTCAGTGTACTCCAGCTTATCTTAGTTCATCTTACCTTATTTAACATTAGCTTAGCATACCTAAACGTCACTAGTGTTGGCTCCGTTGATCACATAGCCTAAACTTTCTTTGATGAATTTAGCCTCTTTGCCATAGCTAAGCTTTTCTTAACTATGAAAAGCATAACTTAGCTTACTTGGCTTTGTTTATATTAGCTTAGCTAAACATAGCTTAGCTTAGCTGTCTTATTTTAGTTTAGCTAAATTATTCTTAGCTTCTCATAAAAGCAGTTGTCACCATTTTATTGGCTGAATCTATTAAAAATCCCCAGAATAATATTCACATAGTGATGAGTTTAGGCTGCATTAAGGTCACTGAATAATTTTACTGCTATTCAGATTCTCAGCTGAGGTTCCCAGAACATTTCAGTGAAAACGGTTCCAGAAACAGAATAATAAAGACTCTTTGTCATGTCTTGTCTCTGACCTGCGGGTCTTTTATCAGGCTGAATGTTTCAGTGTTTTGGAAATGAAAGGCCCAGCTGCTGCTAGCATCAGGTCAGACGTTCAGGTAAACACCAAACAAAGACTGAATATTTCCACAGACTCTCCAACATCCATCACTGGGGAAGCTTTTATTCCAGGTCAGACGCAGCACAAAGACTTTAATGAGTCAAGCTGAGATTTTCCATCCTGACATTAAATCAGTCAGTAACTCACTAGTTTCTGTCATTATTAGATAAATACTCACCGCTGTTTATTTTTCACCTCCTGACGTTTAAAGATGGAGTAAATCTGACTTTCCAGGAACGATCAAACCACACGGCTTTCAGCATGTTTGGACTTTGACTAGGCCATTGAAACAGCTTAATTCTTTACGTTTTAAGCTACCTTTGACTACAAGGTTCCTGGTTCTGGTGGCTGTAAATCGAGCCCACATCATGACTCCTCCTCCACCGAGCTGAACAGTTGGTTTGAGTTTTGATTTTGCTGTTTTTTTCCTTTTTGGTCTCCAAACTCGATGGATTCCAGATAAACTTCTCAGCTTCATCGGTTTGTGCTGTTTTACATTTTGTTTGTCCTCCGACTGTGACCTTTGACCTGCAGACTGAGGCCCGAATCTGAGATGGAGCTGGTGGGTTTCTGGTGGTTCTCTGTTGGGACGTTCAGTCCTGGGAGGGCTGCTGTTTCCTCTTCTGTTCGCTCCATTTCTCCAGATCTGCTCCGTCTGCGTAGAAAACATGGCCGCCTCCGTCATTTCTACGCAGACAACGGTCAGATCGGCCTTCCTGTCGCTGCTGAGACGTCAGGCTGACTGGTAGATTATCTTTAAGATGTTAAAGCTGAACTTTCTGAGTCGTAGTGAAAGTAAAGAAGAGATGTGAATAATTTTGGATTTAGAGACAAACTACATCTGTTCCAGTAAACGGTTTGACTGACTCTCCTGAACGCAGCAGAGCGGCAAACTGCTTCAGCTTCCTGTTCCTGAGCCTCAGCTTCCTGTTCCTGAGCCTCAGCTTCCTGTTCCTGAGCCTCAGCTTCCTGTTTCTCAGCCTCAACTTCCTGTTCCTGAGCCTCAGCTTCCTGTTCCTGAGCCTCAGCTTCCTGTTCCTCAGCCTCAGCTTCCTGTTCCTCAGCCTCAGCTTCCTGTTCCTGAGCCTCAGCTTCCTGTTCCTCAGCCTCAGCTTCCTGTTCCTCAGCCTCAGCTTCCTGTTCCTCAGCTTCCTGTTCCTCAGCCTCAGCTTCCTGTTCCTCAGCCTCAGTTTCCTGAGCCTCAGCTTCCTGTTCCTGTTCCTCAGCCTCAGTTTCCTGAGCCTCAGCTTCCTGAGCCTCAGCTTCCTGTTCCTCAGCCTCAGCTTCCTGAGCCTCAGCTTCCTGTTCCTCAGCTTCCTGTTCCTCAGCCTCAGCTTCCTGTTCCTCAGCCTCAGCTTCCTGTTCCTGAGCCTCAGCTTCCTGTTCCTCAGCCTCAGCTTCCTGCTCCTCAGCCTCAGCTTCCTGTTCCTTTGGTGGTCGGTGAATCGGGTAACCTGTCGCCTCAGGACAGAAAGTTGTTGAGTGAGTCCAGTTGAAGTTTCCAGTGAAGGTGAATGTCGGGACACGCTGCTCTTCACTAATGCACCTTCTAAATGTTCGCTCCCAGTTTACCTCTGCATCCATCACAACAAATAAATGTCCCCTGCGGGTTGCCGTATCGACCCCTAAAAGCTGCTGAAACCTGAGAGGCGCGGTGCGGCCTGGTGCAGCCTGGTCAGGCCCGGTCCGGTCCGGTCCTCTGTACTGATCCCTGATCAGCCCTCAGTCTGCCGATCAATGCAACACATTCTCTCCAAACGTTTCACATCAGGCTTTGCTTGTGCTGAGTCGGGTTGCAGGCCTGGTTGTGTCTGACCAGGTGAGCGGTTCTGATAAACTCATGATCTGACTGGTTCTGAGTGATGAGGCAGAACCACCTGGACCGCTGTCCTTTGACTGGTCCCTTCCTGCTGACGAACAAACCGCCGGATAATTCACTTTGGACGATAACTCTTCCTGCTGTGTGTGTCAAAGCTGCAGATTTTCTCCTGTAAATTTATCTTGTGCTGATGAAATCGCTGCGGCGCAGGACAGAGGTTTATTCATCCCTGACAGGATAATTTGCTGCTCTTGAGTTTTTAAAGAGGAATGAAATTAGGCGCTCTCCTCCAGGCATCCCGTTGAGACAATTTTCTACATTTCTGCAGCTCAGTGAAATCTTCCCAGATGGTGGTCTCTTTGGGAAAAATGAATCTTTTTATTAAATGTCAGAGCGAGTGCTAATATGCATTCATCTGGTGACGAAGAACATGAGTGTTGAACATCAGGTGATGCCATGAAGTGGAGGCAAACACCGGTTTGTTCTCCCTGGGAGCCGCGAACAGAGATGCTCCAGCGGTTCCTCTGAAGACGAAGCTTCGCCTCCGTTTCAGCAGCCGTCCGTTTGCTGCGATGACCTTTGGACAACAAATCGTTTGTCTTTAATTAGCTTAAATTCTCTGTTTCTGGTAAACTGGCTCTTTAACTGCTGAACTACAAGCTGCAGTTTGTTTTGTTTCCTCTGGACTCAGTCAAATCTGATGAGAAAATAACAGCCAGCTGAAACGTATTATGCGAGTAAAATATTATCAATGTAACGTCAAATACATGGAAAACCGACGGCCACAATAAGAATCTAAAAAAAAAAAACATTAAATTAATAAAACATAGCTCACGTTTTAATAGGAAATGTTAAATGTGTCTCATATACAGTGTTATATTTCATTTTTAAGTAATTAAATTGGTTTCTGAATTATTTTCCATCTGCATAATGTTAAAGCTAAATCTGGGTAAGATGAGGCTAGCTTGCACTATGCTAACCTAGGCTAAGGCTAGCTAAGTTTAGCTAAGCTAAGGCACACAAAGCCAAATGGAGGCCAGCAGTTTAGCTTAGTTTAATTTAAAAAATACTTTATTTATCCAAAAACCAAGCCAAGCTCCTCCGAGTTGTAAGAGCAGCATCTTGTTGCCATAGTTACGCATTATAATAACTGTGTGAAAATCATCCAGCTGCAGAGGAACAAAATGTTCAATCACATGATTCAACCAGAATATGAACAAAAATATCAAGAAAGTCTAGAAAAATAAAAATAGATATTCTAGACACAAACACAAAGTAGGTTAAGCTAGGCTAAGCTAAAGTAAGCTAACACTATGCTAGCTAAACCAAAGGAGATGAAGCTAAAGCATAGCTAACCTCAGACATACTGCGTTAAATAATAAAACTGTTTGTGTTTAATAACTAAAGACGTTTTTGGACTAAATATTTTTTCACTGAAATACATTTGAATGTCTGTTAGTTTTGGTGTTTATCTGGTTTTTACAAAATAAATGAGAACAAATTATTTTTGTGACAACAAAAGACTAAAGATCCAATTTATACTTTAATTTAAAAGATGTTTCTTGTCGTAGCGGGTCCACATGATCAATACTCTTCAGATCCAACGTCAGAGACGATCAAATCTCCTCCAGACCAAACCGAACCGTTTCTGCGGTTCTGTTGTTGTGGTGGCTGCTGGACTTTTGGGCTTTTAAATTCTGTTGTCACTGTTCTGTCAGATTGGATGTTTCTCATGGAAAGAGGAGCTGGAAACACGACAGGACGGATTAACGTCCCAGAAGAGGCTGAAACACGGAGAGCCAGTCAGTATGGCAGCGACTGAAACGGCTGAGGGAGGAAGAGCAATCAGAACCGCAGACCAGATCCGCTTCACCTGGCTTTAATCCGTCATTTCATTCCTAATCATCCTCAGATTATTTAATCTCAACATTTCCCTGAACTCGCCTGCACCAGTCTGGGTCAAACGCTGGTTTTGTTTTGGACCAGTTAAAGCGCCTGCATGTCAGGTTCTGTTGCTGCTGAGTGGGTTTGGGCTGCTCTGGTACCGGCAGACTCCAGGCATTAAGGCGTATTAATGCAGAGGGAAATGGCCTGTGGTCGGGTTTAAGTGTTGAATAAATGTTTAACAAAGCGTGTTTGCTGTAATGGTTCGGGTTTTATTGGCCGGCCACTCAGACGGTCCAAACAGACACAGCCGGTCTGATGAGCGTATTGATCCGCTGGTAACCGCGGGAGACGGGCAGGAAGCCCGGACCAGACGGCCTGTCTGCAGGAGACTTCAGGAAAACAATGCCTCGTCTTTTATTCTATAACATGTGGATGTGAGGGACAGTTTTCCAGTGAAAGATGTGAATCTTATTGGTAAAAGTTTCCATTTTGCAGCAGGTTTCCACTTTCTGCCATCTGTACCGATGAAAGCAAAACGTTAATCAATCAGAACGTCGGACCAGGAGCAGCTTCTGTAGAGAGACATGAAGGCAGCTAACATATCAGCAATGGCATGAGGTGGAGAGTAGAAGGAGAAAGAAGTGTTCTGATGAACAGGAAACGGTTCTGATGAACAGGAAACGGTTCTGAGCTCTGATCTTCTTCTTCTCTTCCAGATAATTTCTACAAAGTGGAAGGAGCCAAGGATGCCTTAATCTGTGGAAACAGCAGCGACGCAGGGTGAGTCCAACCAGCCTGGAGGGACCGGTTCAGGTCCAAATGATGATGGATGGATGGTTGGATGATGGATGGACGATGGATGATGGATGGATGATGGATGGACGATGGATGATGGATGGATGATGGATGGACGATGGATGATGGATGGATGATGGATGGATGGTGGATGATGGATG